TCTGAGCGAGGGTTGGCTGGAGATGTCCAGAGGCCCCTTCCAACTTCAGCTATTCTTTGACTCTACCTCAGAAAATGCACCTCAGTGGGCTGCTCTGGCAAGCCAGAAGACACCCTCTGATCTTTGTGAGACACTCCATTTCAAGCTGTGTGTGACAAATACTCTTTAGGTGGTGTTTGTTAGATGTGGCCATGTACATGCAGGTGAAGAGTCCATGACTCACCTATTCCATATTTAAAATACAGACTCATGGCACACTTAAAATTGACAGAAATAAGAACCCTCCCCTTCTCTGAGCCCAAGCAAAACCAACCAACTTTTGCAGAGCAGGATGGATCAAAACATACCAGACACAGCTCTGTAAAAATATTAACGAAGTTGTCACAGTGACTTACTTCATCAATCAACCAATTTGAATAGTCAAACCCCTCAGCTGCAACATGGTTTTCATCAGAATTTTGTAACAATTTTCATCAGAAAATTGTAATAAAGTGTATTTAACAGTTTAATTATTTCAGTCACTGACCCAAAATGAACTCTCTGTAAATCCATTCATCTAGTGTTAGCTCAACTGAGCTTCATTTTAGCTGTTGTGCTCTGCTCAGAAGTGACTGGTGAAGCACCAGTGTTTCCATAGCCACAACGACTGATCAGGTTTTCTACGTGTGATTTCCTCTGGTTTCAATGACTGTTGTGATTGCCCCCCTTCCACCCTCCACAGGTGCTTCTCATTGCCTTAGTGAGCCAAGTGTCCTTCCCAGAGCAGCTGGGGGAATGGAGGAAGAAATTACACATAGAAAAAGATTAGAGCAGCCTATTCTCTGGAGATGAATTGACCTCACAACAAACACAGACATCAGCTGGGCAACCAGTTCAACTTTTCCAAGCTGGCTCTCCCTTTATTCCACATTTCCACACACGTCCTGCAGCGATGACTTGGCCTGGATGTGATCAGCACTGTGGCCATGCCTGTCTCTGGGGCTCAGGGAGATGCAGGACCATGGCCATGTCTCTGGGGCTCAGGGAGATGCAGGACCATGGCCATGTCTCTGGGGCTCAGGGAGATGCAGGAGATGCTGACAGCAGAGCCCACCTGTGTGCTGTTGTGCAGGGAGATGTTTGATCTTAATCTGCCTTGTGTCAATAGGGTTAGATGCAATCAGTGCCATGCCATTCAGATCAAACTCAGTGGGACCCACTTGCAAGGCTGGGATGCCAGGCTAGAAGGCTTGCCAGCCTCATCCCTGCCTGCCCCAAGTCAGCCTCAAAGTGCTGGGCTGGCAGGAGCCTCCCCAGCTCCAGTTCCTCCCAACAAACCTGCCCAGTCTCACTTCCTCCTCACAGACCTGCTGCAAAACAACAGGCCCTGCAAAGCTCAACCTCTACAGGAAAGCAGGGTAACTCCTGGTATAAATAAACTTCCTATTTTGAGTAAAACCATTGATGCTGTATTTCTTCAGCATGTTGCCTAATAAGTTTAGGAAATAGCTTCACTGTGACTTTTATCACCATGGAGCTCTTGTTCCACAGTTAAGAGTCTCATTAGAAGCTAAATTATTTGTGAAGCTAATTACATCTTTTTTTGGCATATACAACAGACCATTGTGTGAAAAAGCTACAGGAGGAGTTGAGAGGCTCACCTACAAAGTCAACTTTACACTGAACCTGAGGCTGAACATAGCCTGAAGTCAAATCAAGACAGACTAAACACCTTTGTAACAGTCCCTGTTCCTGGAGCACTTCCACGGCTCCCACAGTTGCAGTGTCTGACCACAACCATGATCCACAGGCAGGGATGTGGGAAGGACCAGCCCACAGCAGGGCAGGGCAGCAAATCCTCCCAGCTTTGTTCAAGGCCTGCTTCATATTTGCCTGGCCTGCATCTCCCCCACACTTTTAAATGTGAGCTGTGAGAATCCACAAGCCCCGAGCTCATCCCACAGCTGAGAAGGAACAAGCATTTCACACTTCATGTGTTTATTTTTAAATCCTAAGTACCTTAGGAGCCCATGACACACTTTCAGAATTGACATGGCTGCTTGAATTTGATTCAAAGCTGTCCAAGAGAATAGATTTGCTCCCACTCAGCTCTGGGCACTTTGGAGCCAACCAGCTCCTTTGAAAGCTTTCCTCATTCCCTGTTCCCAGGTGGGTATGGCAAAGCACAGAAGTGGTGCCAGTACCTTCCTACCTCTTGGCCAGAAACGGCTGCATTTCAGGGGCTGCAGCTGCAGCTTTGAGCAGCAGGTTGGAGGGAGACAGAAGGAAAAGGCAATGACAGGAATTGCAAAGGAAAAGCAACGATGAGTGCAAGAACACAGAATGAGACTAAGAAAGACACTCTGTGACTGAGGGGGAAAGATTTTCTTGGATAGTGTTTTTTGTGACAAAAAAATTACTGTTGCTCTGCCTGTTAACATAACCCTGTTAACATGGAGCTCAGCTGGTGCCACACACACACTCCTCATTAACATGGGAATTGCCCTACCTGTCTTATATGATGCTAAAGAAGACAGGTAACATCTGTCAGGCTTGTACAGCAGCCCAGCAGAATATTAATCCATCAGCAACTGCCCTGCATTGGCTATCAAACCAAATTTGAATTTTTATCTCACTAACGTTTTCCAAAAAATATTAACAGAGGATAGAATACTTCTGCTAAGAAGCACATTTTAGTGCAGACTTTGAGCAACAGTTCCTTACACTACAGAGAGTGTGGAGCATATAGAAATAAAAATTGTAATTAAAAACACACAGGTTTTTGCTCAGGCCATGCTACAAAGAAAATATAATTGAACTAAGTGTGTAAATTTTAGTATAGTACTATCATTGCTACATTTGTTTGGAAAAGAGGGGATAAAACTTAAACCTGTTATGAGGAACAATTTGCATTTTCCTGGAAGACAGCACATGCTGTTCTTATGAAGTCTGGGGAACTGTGGGGAGGAATGAATGGTGCTAGTTGTGGGAGATCTGCCCTTAGGGTTTCTTTACATATCTTGCATTGAGGTAGGTCCTGAGGAAACCCCTGCTTATCCAGAACTTTCCTAATGCTGGAGCAGGGAGCTGCTGCTCAGGGACACCTCATCAGGGCAAAGCACAGGGAGGGGGTGCAGCAATCAGAGATCAGGGCTCTGTGTTGAGGCATCCACCAAGGGGCAAACACCTTTGTCAATCAGAAAGGCAGTTTCTGTTCAATGGACACACCAAATACAGGAGATCATTTCTTGCTGAAGCCAACCACATGAATTCATTTTCCTCTTACAACAGAACCTTATGAATGCAAAAATAATTGCTGATCTTGTGATGTGGGGGGCAAGCTGCACACTAGTGCTGTGTTGTGCAATATCCTGTAAGTTTTCACTTTAAAAGACTTATTGTGTAGCTAAAGCTTCCATCCTGCAATATATTATCCTTATATAATAATATATATTTTAATATATTCCTGCCTTCTTAATCAAGCTGGGCATTACATTTCCAGCCAAAAAATATGAAATCCAAAGATGCTTTGCTTTAAAGAAGGTGTTAGCTTCAAAACTAAGCAAGGATTTGAGTCATGGTAACGTGACTAAGCACAGGAGAGTTTAGGGAAGAGGAGCCATGAAGAACTGGCCTGGCCAGATTGTCAGCTGGCATTAATCACCCTCACACTACTCCCATAACTTGATTTATTCTCCCTAAAGACCAAGACACTGAAAAATAACTATACCAAAAGTACCAGCTCTAAAATCATGTGGCTTGTTTTCCAAGGAACTTCAGCAATACAAGGGCTGAAGCTCCCAGGGCTTCTGACCCACAGCTGTGTCCCACCCTGTGCACTGCACTGTGCAGTCAGTGGGTGCACAGAGGAGGAGAATCACACATAGGTGTGGTCATGCACAGTTAGTCCTAACATCAACACTGACTTTTGTATTTCCTCATTGTATTTTTATTAGTTTTAACTGTTCAAATCTATTACTGCAGTGGGGTGGGGAGGGCTTCCTGGAAGAGTCCAGAGGATGGTGGTTCATTGATATGTGTTTTTGTCTCTGCCTTTCTGTTTTCTACAGGAGAGGGTTTACCCTGAAGCATGGGTGGAGAGAAAGAGAGCACAAGCAGAAAGAACAGCCAGGCAATGGCAGGAAGAGTTCATATGGCTTCATGTCTTTCTTTAAGTCAGTCCTAGATGCTGGCTAAATGATTACCCAGAAAAGAGGCAACCACATAACATCCTGTTTACTCAACTTTGCGATGTTAGAATTTTGATATTGAACTTTCATTCTCCAGTTGCAAGAAAACCTCAGATTACCATAGTGAGAGAAATTACTAAGGTCCTTTTACCTTGTAACTGCACGGAAAGAGCTTGAAAACAGGAGACCAAAAGGATTTTCAAACAAAAGTCAGACAACAAATATGGAATGGATCTCATCTTTTCAGTATTTGCTGGTCTTAGGTCAGCTGTGAATGTCTGGGCTCAGCTGGTCCTTTCTAACCTGTGCTACCTCACAGCTCCTGGGCTCTGCATGCCTGGGAATGCTCCTGGCAGCAGGGTGGGAGCCTGCAGGGAGCTGAGCAGGAGCATTTTGCTTGCAGCTGCTGGCTCTGCTCCTTAGCAAACAGGAGGGAATTCAGCCTATAATTAGCAACAGCTCACCTGCTCTGGGAGCCACTGGTAGAGCTGAGGACACTCACTGCAAGCAGGTTCTCAGCACAGTGAGACAGACAAATCCATGTCCCTTTCAAAAGCGGTTTCTGGCCCTAGCACTGCCTAGGAATTGGGAATGTCAGTGATTTTATGGGGACTGGATATATTCTTTACACTGCATCCTTCTGCCCAGGATCACTTACAGTATCAAACACTAAGATTTTGCTTGGAGACAAATTTGGATTTTTACTAAACTAAATTTAGAACTCAGATCATCATTAGTTTTAAGCTATATATAGAATGAAGCTGTATTTTAAAAAGAATTTAAAATACAGATACACTGAATATAGGAAACACATAGTAAATGTTTACTTACCCAAAAAGCATCTTTAAACTGCAGCTGGGTCATTATTATTGCTCTGTGGAGGGGTAGGAATCCTTCAGCAGGTCTGTTGTGGGGTGAGAGCGGCAGCAGGCACAGCTCTGAGCCTTGTCACTGCACCCCAGCCCAAGCAGAGAGTGCAGCACATCCACAGACCTGTCCCTCCTGAAGTCAGGCTGCTGCCAATAGCATGGGGCTGTTCCAGGCAACTCGGAGAAATGACCTGTGGCTGTGAGGGACAGAGGGCAAAAGAGCTGTTGCTCACACACAGAGACATGCAAGTGCTCAGCACCCACATCCCAAACCTGTTTCTCTTCTGGTGAACAGTTAATATTGAAATGAGGAAGCAAAGAGATGTCAAATGGTGTCAGGCTGCTCCTTGCCATGGGTGTGTGTGTGAGCAGACAGGAAAAAAATAGAGAGGAGGGGAAAAAAAGGCACTAAGTTCAATGATATGATTTGATCAGCTGCAAGAAGAGAGAACAATCACAGTGCAAAGGAAACTAGCACAGTACAGAGACAAGCTATTATCTAATGCTGTGGTCTTGCAAAGAAAAAGAAGCAAAAGAAACATAGGTGCCCCATTTCTGCAGCACCTTCTGGGGCTGGCAGAGGCCCATGCCTTTGCACACAGGAAGCTTAGCTCAAAGCTGCATTTTGCAGCTGAAAAGACTTTTCAGGACTCAGGTTAAATTAAGAACTCTGAGAAGTGTGCAGGTGTCTGCACACATTTAGATACCTGGATGTCAATATAGAGAACACTTCTGATTTGCATGCCCTCATATGAATGTGCAAGATATGTGAAATTTAGAAGTAAAATCCAAAGTCTTGAAAAAGAAGAGAGCTGAGTGTTTGTTAGCACCAGGACCTGAGTGAAGCCTCACAGACCAGTGAAGCAGTAGCACCCAGACCACACCCAGCATCCCTTGACACCAGGTATTTCAGGCAGTGTCTCAAATCAGCTCTTCCAGTTGTTTTAACATAGCTGCAAATACCTGATCACAGGGTAACACTTCTAAAGCTTCCTTGAAACCCTCTCCAAAGCACTTGTCCTCCAGGTGAGGTTGAGCATTCTTAAATACCTGCTTTCAAATACTCACTGGCATTTTTGGGGTGTAGGAAAAAAAAAGAAAAATAGTCCTGTGGTGGTTTCCTATGCAAAAGCTGTTTGTCCACAGCAAGAACACATCAGGACTTACTGATCTCCAACCGACTGACGCTGCTCTGGGTGTTGCTGTTTTCCTGCTGTCACACAGCAGCAGCTCCCCCTGGGCAGATCATTCCAAAGTGGGGAAGTCCTGCAACTTCTTGGGGCTCTGCTCAGAGAGCTCTGCAGCAGCTGGGGCCTGCAGTTACCCCCACTCACTCCATGGGCAATTTGTAGCTGGTGTTTTAAAGAATTTGTAAGGTTCCTTCCTGATCGTCTGAAAAAGACAGGGAGTGTACAGGAAATTTGTGAGGGAAAATGAAGTGCAAGCAGACAAGGACAAACAAGAGTCTGAAGAGTCAGAGGTATAGCAGGAAGAAAGCATCATTGCATTAGAGTGGGAGAAGGAGAAATGTGAGGATTCACTTGCAGACAGGGTTGAAGAGAAAGGAGTGAAGCTTTCTCCCAGAAGGGAAAATTTCTTGAAAAATGTATTTTGAGGGCATGGGCACTAGTCCTACTTGATCTGTATGCAAAAAAAGAAAAGGATCTTTTTTAAAGTGTTTTATCTCAGTCCTTCCAAACCTAAATGTTTCCTGTTACTATTTCCAAGTTACAGCTGTGTTTTGAAACCATCTTTGCTGCTGTTGGGGTTCATAAAAATGCATTGAGTGCATTTTAGGCCTCTAAAATGATATGCTACTTTTCTGTTATTTTTAGTTTGGCCTCCAGCCACAAAGCCAATTATTTGACTGAACCTCAGGCCGGGCTCTGTGCCTGCATCCATCCCACCCAAGAGCTCTGGTGTAGCACAGTCACCTCCCCAGCAGCTCTCAGGGATGCTCTCTCTCAAACACCATCAGCACAGGCAGTTCACTCTGTGCTGTGGGTGAGTTTCTCAGAATAGCCCAGACCAGGTCTCCAGTTCAGGTACTTCGATGAGCTGTCAGAGTAGAGGACATCAAGGCCTCCAGTTCTGAAATGCTGTATCACAGGACTGGGTTAGTATCTTGATGTGTGGCCAGAGTTGTGTGCAGTGTGGAAAGGCTGAGCCTGGGAGGGAGCTCTGTGGGGCTGAGGCAGGGAGCAAAATCACTGAACCTCTCTAGGCTGTGAATGCTGTGATGCCATCTACTGAAACTCCCTCAGCATCCTGCAATTCCCCCTGCAAAAGCAATGTCACTATTTTCGGACCAAGAAACAGCATTTAGGTGGGCAAGGGAGGGGCTGAGATTTGTCAGGATGCTTTGGACACCTGCAGGGCCCTTCAGCTGCCCTTTCTCACTCTTTTAAAGGGGATTTTAGCCTGACCTGACAGGTTCACTCAGAAATCCAGCAGTGTCAACAAGGAGCCGCTTTCCTGACAGCCACTGCATCTCCTTCCACCACCGCTCTCAGAGGTTAAAAATCAGGTGTTCTGTTTGATAAGGCCAAGAACACATTTCCTGAGGGCTTTTTATCCCACAAATTAAATTGTTTGGCAGCAGAATCCATTTGAATCCATTCTGTAATGAAAAATGAGGATAAGTCTGACTTAAAAAAAAAAATAAAAAAGTTTTTAAAGCTCTCAAATTTTCTAATTCTTTAGAATGGAAGTTTCATTTAATTTGTAACTATATATTACTTTGAACAAAGCTTTTTATTTTTATATTTGGATTTGGCAGTAGGCAAAATATGAAAATAGTATCTACAAACATTTTTGTGCTCATCCAGGATGCTGAGCAAGACATTCTTCACAGGAAATGTTTCTGATTTTGGGGAGTCTGATCAAATAGACAGTAAGCCTTTTATTCTACATAGCAAGAGGATGAGGGAGTCTATGAAAAGTATTAAAGCAGAAGATAAAGAAATGCTGAATACTCAGCTAATCCTGGTGTTGAGCTGGTTGTAACTTTCACAAGTCCTTGGGTATATTGTGGTGCCTTGGAAAGGTGGTTTGGGAAATGCCAATGAAGACTGGAAGGCACTGGTGCAGCCCTTCCCAGCTTCCAGAATGGTTACATCTGAGATACAGCTCCCAAACAACTGCTGCAGGGAGCCATGTCCAAACTTCAACAGCCCAGCCTCTGGTGTCAGAGTCCCACAGCCTGGGGACAGCAGCAGCAAGGAAACCACTGCCAGAGGAAAACCACAGCTAAAACAGACACAGTTCAGCTATGCCTGCTGTTCTAATTTCATACAAATGGATCTCGGAATTTCCATGCAGGGAATGTCAGGGGCTTGCAAATTATCCCCAATCATACCCATTAAAAATGTTGAAATCACCTTGCCTTCTGTGAGGAGCCAGTCTCTGTTCCCATGGAAACAAAAGCTGCAGCCTCTGAACACCTGGCTTGGTTTGTTCCAGCTACTCTGGGCCATCGTGGCTGTGGCTGGAGGCTGCTTCAGCACGGCTGAGACCCCACACCAGGGCCCTGCTCTGCTCTGAAATGTAACTCCCTCTGCTCCTGTTAGAGGGAACTGCTGAAAAGGCCTTCCAAAAGCAGTCTCACAGTGCAAGACAGTCCTGCTAGTGTTCTGCTTTAGCAAAATCCATAATTACTATAAAGATTAATTGCACAGGCTCTGTTCTTACCTCTTATCTAACATTTTATAGCAGTTTCTAATAGAGGCCATCACTGAAAGGTGGATCCTGTTCTGCTTTTACCCAAGCGAAAGATCATCAGTCTTTGCCATAATCATAAAGAACATGAATGGATTTCCTCTAGAATTAACATTGTGATACTTTGCATATAAGAAAATTGTATCATAGAAATGTGGGGTCTTTTTGTGCTTGTTATGTCTTTAAACTATCCTTACCCTTTCAAATGTTTCAAAAGCAAAAAAAAAGAAAAAGGGAACTGTGGAAAAGTGCAGTGTCATCGGGGCCTTGAATAGCACAAGCAGGATCGGGTTGTTCCTGGGAGAAAAGTAGAAGTACTTTGTGAAACAGAAAATTAAATTATTTGAGGTTTTATCCCCCTTTTCTTGTCATAAATCCAGGTACCTGCTGGAAGATGTTTTTAATTTCTCTAACACCTTTTGAATGCTTTATCAAAACACTGGTTTTCTCCATGCCTTTATTCAAAGCAAATCACTACTCATTTGCAAGTACTGCACATTGATTAGCCAAACAGGCAATGCTGGTGCTGCTGAGATTTCTATGTCTGAAAAGGACCCTTGGATCTGTGTCCCAAACATATCATCTGCAGCAGGTCTGCCTCTGGACCAAATGTCCCTTCTTCAGCAGTAATGACTTGTTTAGCATCATAGGAGGCAACACTTTAGCTTCCTTCAGCATATTGGAGCCAATATTCTGCATGTGTGCTCATGTAGAAACATTGCCAGTTATTTAATATTTTTTTTTTTGTTTTAATATTCCAGGGCACACTGGATTTACTAGACTTTATTTTTTTTTAAATCACACCTCACCACCACTATGGCAAGAGCTGTACTCATATTCCCAAGGAACAGACATAGATAAAACATGGGTAGAAAAAATCCAACCACTAAAGTTAAAAAAGTGTTTTGAATTTCTATTACTATGATATCTAAAAATATAGTGTATATGGTTTTGCTCTGGATCAGAATTCCAAACCTTCTACTGGTGACGCATCAGCACTTACCCCAAAAGGAATTCCATTTGTTCTGAACATACTTAAGAGGTGGTATCCTGGGAAAAACAAGGCAGAACTAGCTGCTTGTACTCAATAGAGCTGGGAGGAAGGAAAACAGTCAAGGAGGACATTGTGAGAGCATTACAAGAGTTATTTATGTAGGAATTAAAAAAACCCAACACACTCCACACAAGCTGTTCTGTGAGGCTTTGGCTTTGCCTGGAATAATCAGCTCATTTCTTTCCAGGAGACAGAAATGAATACTTGGACTTTCCTACACTGAACGTGTAGTGCCATTAACCCCTCAGACTATTTCAAATAATCACAAAATGGGACAGCACTCGCTTGTGGAGCTTTCAGCTGAGGTTAACTTTTAGAGTTAATATTACTGCAAATATTATTTATGTAATGCCTTGATGCTTTAGCTTTCCATATACCACAAATGAAAGAATGAACACAATTGCTTTTGCAAACTTGTCCAGAAAATGCTAAATGCACACATTGCTTCTTTTTGAATATTCTTTAGCAGCCAGATAAGATGACACATCTCGGGTTGATAGAGCCAAAATTGTTGCCACTGGACATTATGCACATTGCTCATGTCTCTAGGAGCTGCTATGGGTGACATAAAGGTAAGAAATAAACATACAAGACACAGAAAGATAGAACATTTTAAGTTTTAATCCAACAAATGAAGAGGGTCTCGATACAGTAAAATACAACTGTATTGCTAATGCTCTACAACTGTACATTAAAAATAATTGTCTATAGATGTAAAAATAGAAACCATTCAAAATCAAGTAGAAACCTCTTAAACAACTGAGGCATTTATCTAAGTATTTCTCCAAAGGTATTAAACAACACACAGTTAATACGAACTCTAAACATCCCCCCACTTTCCCCACACTCTGCCCTAATTTAATTGATTAGAAAAATAGTAGTCTCAGTTACTATATTTTGCATTCTTTCAGAACCATCTAGATTCTCCATTTTCTTCAAGTACAGTAGAACAACTCTTCACAATACAGCACTACCCTGAAGTAATTTATTTCCCAACACTACAGAATTTTGATAGCAAGTATTATATTTCAAATTAATTTTGAAGACTAGAAGAGGCCCAGGAAGTTTGCAGGAGGGCAATTAAATTTTGAATGCAAATTATTTACACAAACATTAGTGTACTGTAATTACAGCATAAAACTTGCAATGCAGCCGATGAGTGCTTTTAACAAAAGCTCCAAATGAAAGAAAGGGAAGAAAAGAGATTACAAAATAAATAATCTAAAGTTCTTCATGGTAAAAACGTTCATCATGAAGCTGCCTACCATAATCTGTAGCTTCACTGTTAAGAAACAAATCCTGGTTCTTAAGAATTTCTGCTTCAGAAAGTTTTTTATCATCATTCAAATCCATCTCTTCAATGAGGTGCAGAGCCTGTAAAAGAAACAGACCACCATATGTACCAAGTTACAACAATTCTGATTTTTGATTATTTATATATTATAAAAAGAAGGCAGTTTAGCAGTAAAATGAAGAACCGATTGCAGAATATTTTAGCTGTAGCTCATTCACCAGTATTTCATAGTTCAAAGCTAACAGGCTGGGCAGAAGCTCTACTGGACCTCTTATTTCTGAGAAATAGAGCCCTGGTACTACATGGACTTTGTTTTCATTTGCTGAACATCTACAAATACAGTGATTTAGAGAATCCTTCTGTTCCTACTTTTCCTGATTGGTTTGGCTCAATGTAACTGAGCCAAAAATAACAGGGACTAACGTCAGCCAAGGGGATTTTAAAAGCACTCTGCATGGCAAAAGCTGAAAGATTAATATGACAAACATTTTGGCAAACACATGTCAATTCCTGAAAATGGAATAGATAGTATTTTTTCTATTTTTATGTTATTTAGCTACCAGGTTTCTCAAGTTATTCTGAAATGCCAAAATGGAAGTGTGATACTCTGACTTCAAACAGCATTTTATGACTGAAATCAATGCTACCTTCTCTTTATGACAGGTGACTTTGCTAAGCCTTTATACTACCTAAAGGGAAAAAAAATAGCACATTAGAGAAACAAATAAAACAAATTATTAGTTGTAGGATTGAGCTATTACTACAGCATGGCCTCGCTGTAAGCCAAAATTTGAAAGCTAAGAGCTAAAAAAAAACCCAAACCAAGGAAGCCAACATAGGCACAACTTAGCAGCACATAGAGTTCATGTCACAACAGTGCTATTGCTGTCAGCTAAGAACTGACCACAGCCAGGAAAGGCCATGCAAAGCCTCACAGATACCCATTTACAGAAATGCTCCCAGAACAGCTCAGCAGCCGACAAGGTCCCACATGGCAGGGCTGCTGCTGCCACCAAGGGGCAGCTCCTGTCCCCAAAGCCCAGCGGGGCACATGTGGCAGCTCAGGGAGGAGCACATGGGCTGTGTGCCTGACAGAGGGAGGTGCCTCTTTTCCCCAGGAACAGGAGGCCATGGGAAAACCTGGTGTTCCTGCCATTCTGAACACTAAAATCCTCCAGGGTAAAACAAAGACATGGAGAGAAGTTACTAGAAGAAAGGCAAAAATCCTCTCCAACGTAGTCAGGGACTGGAAACTGCCACAAAAAAATAAGCTAAAATGAGAATCCACTTAAAAGCTATTATGCTGTTCTACCCCTGATTAAACCATTTTAATTAGCATCATCAAAGTTTGCTTTATATCATCTTGAATCACAGAGTACTTACATTTTCTTGTACTTAAAACAAATTTTTAGTTTTACAAATTATGATGATTTATCCAGTTAAAAGAATTACAATCAATTTCTTATTTCAAAATTATGTAGCTTCTTTTGGTAGTGCATATCATTAGGTTTACCTACAACTAAAAAATTACTTATTAAAATTCTGTACCCTTGAGTCAAAGCAGATAAGCTATTTAAACATGTAC